GTGTCCTGTTGTGTATAGGTAGTCGTGGATTGAAGTCATTGTCAATGTTGGCACATTCTCTCTAAGTCTGTGTAGAGAAGCTACGACTACCCAGAATAAGTTCAGTGACTGTTACAGGCATTTTCCCCCCCAAAAGTAACAATAGATCCTAATATTTATTAAGCACTGAAAATACAGAAGACACTGAGAGAAGCACTTTGCAGCCACTGCACCTCACTCATTTCTAAAAATTATTACTGCCTGTATTTTTACATTGTTCATGTTATTTTTATGTGCAGACAAGTCAGAACCTTCTCACTGAAGACCCTTCAGCTGGTTTTCAGAGGCTGTAAATCGCACCAGATGAGATTGTCCATTTTTCTCCCCCAAATTAGCTGGTGGATTCTAACCACCTACCTTTGGGTTGACAGTGCAACTTCTTACCCATTAGGCCACCGGAGATCCCTATCTTCACATAGTTGTTGTCATGTACCATTACTTCTGAACCGGCCAACAGATGACTTTCCAGTGAATTTTCTGAAGCAGTAAATCACATGGGAGAAGACTGCCCATCTTTCTTCCACAGAGTAGCCAGTGGATTGGAATTACTTCCCTTTAAGTTGGCAGCACAACTCCTTACCACTAAACCACCTTGAGATTCTTGCCCAAGACATTATAAATATTGAACGTTGTTGTTAGACACATCATGTTAACCACAACTCACAGCAGCAGCTCTCTGAACAACAGATCTGAACTCTGTCCTATCTCGGCAAACCCTCACCATCTTTGACAACAGGCAGTTTTTAAAACAAGATGACTTCAATATAAAGACCATGCCCTTCCTAATTCTCCTCATCTCTGTAATAATATTATCGATGTATCTGTGTAATCCTTTCTGACATAGATGCATTATCGGAGTTTCCTTGGCATGTAACTAGACTGAATTTATCAGCCTCCTTTGCAGGTAGGCTTGACCATGTGTCCATGTGTCAATGGAATTAATGGAAGCACTGGGCACCAATTCCATGCCCGGACTGTAATCAATTTCCTGTGTGTCTTCTTTCATTTTCTTTCTTTCTCTTGTTGGATGGAAAAAAAAATTCCAAGTTCTTAGAAGAGGGTGTGGACATACAAAAAAAGATCCCAGGATCTCAAATGAACACATGGAATGCCACAGGCCAGCCCACAACATATGACATTTCACTTAACACTTAACACTCAGTTGTGTGAAGTCACTTGAGACTTTGGGACTCACCTGTTACAGTACAGATCAATCATTATTTTCCTCTTAGTGCCAAGTTGCTTTCCTATTTATTATGCCAATGAATCCTTGACAAATCTAAGGAGAATCCACGAGAGCTTGAGGAATGAGAGGTGTGAAGGATCCTCTGAGAAGGACTGAAATAATCTGTACTGATTAAGGGAAAGCCATATGCACATTCAGTCATAGGGTTTACTTCTCCACATAGATTATCAGTGTGTTGGGAAGGATGGTGTCTAAAATCCTTTCTAATTCTCAAGCTCTAGAAAACTTTCATACTCCATTCATTGCTGTGGAGTTGGAGTCGACTCACTGTGGATCCTCTGAGGTATTTTTGGAGGCTGTAAATTGTATGGGAGGAAACTGCCCATCTTTCTCCTGTAGAGTGGTTGGTGGATTTGAACTGGCTTCCTTTAGGCTGGAAGCACAACTCTGTACAGACTATGCCATCAGAGCTGCCCTATCAATCTTTACATAATAGAACTGAAAATCAGGAACTGAGGGGCATACAGACTATGATGGGGCGTGTCTCACAGGTAAAGGTTATTTAATTACCCGGATGTTATGCCTCGTATCTGCTATATTGTAGAAGCTGCAAAATTTTAATTAGAGTTTTGATGTTCTAAAAAAAAAAGAATTTGCTAATGTTCTAATTTATGCCAATAATTTCTAGCTCTAATTGGAGCACTGACTCAAATGACTAAAATTCTCATGAATATTTTCATTATGCTTCACTAGCATGATAAGCTATTTTATATTCATTTATATAGACTTAGTTCTTGAGGGATGACTTTATAATAATGCCGAAAGACTTCTGATTAAAAGTAATGCCAGAAGTAATTGCCATTCTGATAGCTTCATTTAGAGTTCTATTTAGCTTAATAATATAAGAGTATAATTCCTACCGATCATTGAGAAAATTGGTGTAAGAAAATCCAGAACTTTATCATTCAAATGGTTCTTAACTTCAGGTCCACAAAAGCGTGGAGTCAGAGGAAACTATGAGCAGCTTCAAGGTTTGAAAAGGCCCCAAGGAAATTATCCACTGATACGAGATCACTTATGCAGCATTCATGAAAAATCTACAGCTTTTTCATTTTTTATTTTTTTAAATAATTTTAATGAACATTTACAGAGAATTTGGATTTCCATTCATTCATTGCTGCACTTCTCTACCCTCCCAGCCCTCTCCCCCTGCCCCCCAGTTCGCTCCTCTCTTTCAAAAGTAAAAGAAAGACTCCC